CGAAAAAAAAAACGAATACGAGTTATATTTATATAAATACACTTTTTAAACTTTTAAGGCAGCTGTATAGTTATAATATAGGAAATTCAAATAATTCATTTTCTGACAGATGGAAATAAATTGTTTGACTGTTTGACACTTAATGTCAAAGGAAGCTAGATAAAATCAAGAAAAATATACGTTTTCAAACTAAATCTTAAATAACTTAAAAATGATTTATTTTAGGTATAGGAATATGTCTAGTTAAAACGTAACGAATTGGAAAACCTTTTCACTAGTGAAATAAAAAAAGTGGGTTTCCATTTGAAAAAAAAATATTTATAATAATTTTTTAATCGCCCAATTCCATGACAGCTACCGCCATTGTTATATGACATTTGAACAATTTAATTTTTGAAATAGATAGCCACATGTCTTTTCTTTATGTCACAGGGACTGTGATAATCACTAAATTTGACTTTTAGGCTGTACACATCTTTTTTGACAGGTAGTTTTTTTCGCCCAAAAATTTTAAATATTTTTTTCTTAAATGGGTTAAAAATGCTTCCAGGGAAAGACCGCGACAAAATATCGCGATTTTATAAGTCCTCCAAGATCCGAGGGGCCCCTTCGCTGTCTCAGGCCCGTGGCCCCCGTTGTACTAAAGACTTCACTGCTCATCAACTAGAATACAAGTTATGCTGTGCATTGGTTGTAATTTAAAATGTTTATTAAGTAAAAATAAATATTGAAACCATTGAAAAATAACTTAAAAGTTAAAATAAATAAATTCAGTCTCAAAATATATAAAAAATAATAATTATTCGATATTTTAAACAAAGATAATTACTCCTTGATTTAATTTCCTAAATATAAAATGCCATTGACAATTACTGGGGCCTGATAATTGATAATTAGTTAAATATCTGCTTCCGTTTATACTGTTTATAGTTGGAGTATACGTATGGTTTGCATACTTCACCTACAAACTACTTTATAACTACTGAACACATATTGGCCTTGTTTGCCAGTTGAATAAAAAATTACGAATTATTAAGATTCGGTTCCGCCCCCTCCCCTAAGTCTACCACTGTGTGGGTGTCCAGCCCTGTCAATCAGAGAAACTATTGTTTGAAGTCCGTCATACCATGATCAATTTACCGAAAAGACCTTTGTCGCATTACACCCTATTTGCAAAATTCAATCATCTGCAGTCAATCTGGTAGCTTAGACTAAAAACATAGTGGCGCGACGAGGAGAGCGGCGAGCAAGCAGCGCGATATCGCGTCGATCGAGCCTCGAGGTGCTAAATCATAGTAGAGCGGCGAGCAGATCGCTTTACTATGTTCACGCGTACTTGTCTTCACAGGTTTGTTTTGGTCGCGCTGCTTGCTCGCCGCTCTCCTCGTCGCTCCACTATGTTTTTAGCATTAGACGATGTGCTTTTCCCAGTCGAAAATAGGTAAGAGCATAAAAAAAAAGAATGTGGTTTAAGTTGCACTCTTTCAAACGTACAGAAAATAATGGAGCAATGTAAAATTCCCTCAATAACAACGAAATATGCTATAAAACTTATCTGTTGATCCGAAAAAGAACGGGGTGGTACCATTTACAAAGAAGATAAAGACGCGACATATAGCTTTCCCTCTGTGGAAAAGAACTCAACCTTTATTTTCAAAAGTTAAATATTTGAGAGTCGTTACCAACTCCCCATAGCATCCATAGCAGTCTACACAGATGCTTCCGCAAATTCAGGGGGCACAGGTATAGGCATCTTCTCAGAGGAACTAGACATCCGACGATCTTTAAGGCTATCGGATGGCTGTAATGTTCTACAAGCAGAGGTTTACGCCATAAAGGAAGCGGCTAGTTGTATACGAGAGAAAATTGCTGATAGACCAATAGGGGATATAGTGATATACTCTGACAGCTTGGCCGCTTTAAGAAGCATCACCATGCAATCAGTGAGATCGAAAACTGTGATGGAATGCCGAGAAGTACTGTCCTGGCTGCGTCGGGGCGGGGCTACTCTGTGCTGGGTGCCACAGCAATGTGGTGGGCAATCAGGAAGCAGACAGACTCGCCAAAGACGGGGCCAGGGGAGAGGCCGTAGCAGATGACCCACCACTTGTGACGATCAACACACTGAAGGAGGCTATAGGAACTGCCATCAAAGTCAAGCAGCAAGAGACGTGGCAACACCGTGAGGACTGCGCTACAGCTCGAAGACTATGGTCAGTGGTAGATAGCAAAAAACCAAAACAACTACTAGAGCACAAAAAGGACCTAGTACGCATAATTGTAGGTGTCACTGGAAACTGTCCCACGGGAGTAAATCTCGTGAGATGGAAAATTTCCGACGACGATTACTGCAGAGAATGCGGAGAGGAAGAAGAAACCATTGAGCACCTGCTGTCCCACTGTCCGGCACTGGAATACCGGCGCTTTAAAACTTTAGGGCAAGGTTTTTTGGAGGGACTAGAGGAAGCAGCAGAAGCCAACATCAGCGACATCGGGAACTTTGCAAAGAGCTGGAAGTGCTTTAACGCAAAGAAAGAATGAGAGGAAGGTGTGGTAAAACAATACAGCGGTATCGCAATGGGCCCAAGGCCTCCGCGAGAGGGATCAAATATGATCCCAAACCCCAGCAACCTAACCTAACCTAACCTAACCTAACCTAACCTACCAACTCCCATTTTGCCTAAAACCATGAAATAAATCGACGGAAAAACAAGTAACTGTCTGTCTTTCGACATTCAGACCTTAAATAGATATACGGACATATTTCCTAAGAGACTCACAACTCTGACAAAAAAATAATGGCAGTGTGTCTAAAAAGCTCATTTCAGGTCTATGATTTGCGAGTTTTTTTTTAAATTACGAGAGACATTTAAAAGCGATATACCCATACGTCTGAAAAGAAAAGTATACGAACAATGTATTATATACAGGGTGTCCGAGAAATAAGTGCAGGTATTTTAAGGGGTGTTAGATCTCGATAAAAGAAACATATTTTCTCCTTATCGTTTTTCAAAGTCCAAAATAACGGAGTTATTTTACTTTGAAAATTTCCAAAAAAAAATGATTTGTTGCTAAAATTTTGGGAACCACTGGATCTTTTCTGTATTTTCGGACAAATTTTGTCCTGCAAATCCTTCAATTTAAGAGCTGTTAGTAAGAAGTTTCACTTCAAATATGCACACGTAGTGCACACACATTTTTTTTTATTGGAAATAAAACACCACACCAAACATATTTAAAACAGTTTTAAACATGTTTAACAAGAAACGAGTTTTTTTAAACTGGTTTAAAACATTTTTTTACTGAATGTTTAAAACACAACAACCCCCTTCTTCTTAGTAATAATTCTTCAAATAAAATAAAAAAAAACAACAAAACAAACATAATAAAATAACGTTTATTTTAACAAAAGAAAAAATAACATAATATTTTCTTATCATGAAAAGCACTGCTTTATGACAATAATTATTGTAAAATATTCAATAGGCCACTTAGTCATTTTCTGAAACAATATAATATATCTCCCATTTTCTGACAGTCACTCGCTGTAAAAATTATTAATGCATAATCTATAAATATTTTTTCGATTAGTATCAAAAATACTTTATTCAGATATAATTATTACAAAACGATTCTACTTTGTAAAGTTATAAATTTAATTTTATTATAACAAACCCTTAAACTGAAATTAGTGGAGCGATTTTTATACGTACAGTTGGGAAGAGAGTTTTAATATAGTTTAATTATTTCAAATGTGTTTTTGAATGTGGTAGAAACCAGTACACAATTGATAACGGTCAGTGATACATCTGGCCGAAACGTTATGTAAGTTAAATTGCATGGATTCAAAAAAGGATTTATTGACATTGCTTAGTTAATTTATTAAATTATATTTTCTTCTATTTCTCTAATTTATAAAGTATTTGTAAAAATATTTATGATAATACTTAATATATCTATTCATTTTTATAAAATAGTAACAGTAGAAACAGTCTTACATATTTATCTGTTAAAAGATTAAAATAAAATAAAAATTGTTTGAATAAAAGCAACAAAATAAAAGGTAAAGTATTTGTCTTGTAAAAATTTGTCATGAAAACTTTAATTTCAGACACACGATAATATCACAATCATGTACACTTTTTAGTTAGCACAATAACTTTGACCGTTGACGCAGTTCGATTCTAGTTGGTAAAGGGATCCCGATCATGATCATAAATTTGTTATCTTTATCGTTTGTAATATAAAAGCTTGAAACCAGTATCGCATAAGCAGTAATTAATTTATAAAAGTTGTACATATAAATAAGTTGTAAGACTTATATACTTAGTATAAAAAAGACATAGATAAAAAAGTTAAAGAGAAAATCATAATAATTACAATAATAAAAACTTTTAAAACATAAAATGCATTTTAGTGCAAGACACAATAGCGGGTACATAAATATGTTAGTACTTGTGATTTTCAGTAAGTAGTAAGTAAAGTTAAAAAAGTAAGTACTTACTTATACAGGGTGAGTCTTAAATAAGTGCAAATATTTTCAGGGCTGGTAGATCTCGATAAAAGAAACAATAATATTTTGTCTTTACCGTTTTTCTAATAAGTCCAAAATAACCGAGTTATTTTACTTTGAAAATTAAAAAAAAATATATATATTTAAATTTTGAGAACCACTCTGGGTTTTCTTTCTTGTAAATTTAATTTAATATCTATTTTGCGATATTATCAAGAGATTACGTTTTTTTATCTAAAAATTAAAAAAGTTAAAAAAAAAAATCATATTTTCAATTTTTTTTTCACGAAAAAAACCTCATAATCGTGTTTTCTGGGGTCGAAATATACTACCCTTAAAAATATTTGCACTTATTTAAGACTCACGCTGTATAATTGAGATAAGTATTTTTTTATTTATATTATACTTTCTTTGATACATAGAAGCAAGATCGTAATTCTTTTCGTTTTTCAAACTGCGTGAAAGGTTTTTGTCCGTTACTTTATTATTATTTCTTTGAAATTGGTTTCAAGTTAAATACTTTCTTGTACTGACATTGTGTAAATTTAAAATTCACACTTTAAGGTTTTATAAAATTTCAAAATTAGAAACAATGCCAGTCCAAAAAGGTATTTTATTTCATAATTTATCCAATATGATGCAGACAAATAATTTTCAGTTATTGGGCTAAATAATATTGATTTTAAATAGTGTTTACTGTCTTCGTAATTTATATAAATAAAAACATATAAAATATAATGATTTTAAGGAAAAATAATGAATTTAATAATTATCATTTGTTTTGAGATAAAAAAGTTGTTAAAGTTTTGTATCTGAAACGTTATTGGATTCTTGTTGCGGTGGAACCGTAGATGGAGTATTGTTTTCACCTTCACTGTAAATAAAAAAAAAATAAAAAAATCATAATACAAACAAAACAAGAACAAACATAAAAAAACACATTGTTTAATAATTGTAAAAAGTAATTGACTATTTTAAATATTATATGGTCTCAATTTTTTCATTTAATTCTTCTTGAAATATTACCACTAAAGTTTACGGTAAATAATAAAAAATTACAAACGTTTCTTAGGAATTCCATCTCACTCCAACAGCGACAATGGATCTATCCATAATTGCGAGACCAAAATGTTATAAAATTGTGTAAAGGATTTGAAATTATCGACTGACTAAGCATAGGGAGGCTCATAATAGAAAAAATTGGCGCCGGGAGGCACGTATAGCCGCTCATACTAAAATATGTTAATATCTCGAAAACTGCGACTTTGACTGATTTTGATGTTATTACAAATTTTGTTGCAAATATTATTCCTAATCTTAATTTGAAAACCACGTTTCGCTAGCTACTGTAATTTTGGAGTTACGATTTTTTAAAATTTTTAACCCCCTCTCATACCCCCTTACCAACCCCCCACCCCCATTAAAAACTAATAGCCAGATTCTCGGGTGCCACAGTATTTTTGTGCCAAATTTGGTTAAAATCGGTTCAGCGGTTTTTGAGTTATCGTGTTACAGACGGACAGACGAACAGACAGACAGACAGACAGACACCATGAAAATATTTTGTATTTAGGTCATTTTTTTTGCCGATCCTAACAGCCTACCATACCTATTGGTATGGTCGGCTAAAAATACAAAACCAGGATGACATACAGTTTTAAAATTGATGTACAGCAGCAACTTTTATAGTTTCATTAGTCCAATAAAAAATGGTAAGGTACTACAAATTCGAGGTACGAGCATTGGTATAGTAAACGCCACGAATGTTTGGGAGTGATTCATCGCTTGATGAAGTTAGAATCGACACGCGCGCTATCATTTTTACATTAAGAACGTAAATTTTTACCGCAGACGTAGGTTTTTAAAGTGCGACCAATGGGGCATTCCATTTTATATTTATAACCAAATATATGTTTTGACAAGACTTTGACAGTTAAAACAACAAATTACAACAGATTATATATTGATTATTATATGACTTGAAACACTACGGCACTGGAATTAAGTTTTATGTGACCTTGAACAGATCAGTTCACATGGTAGCGACCGATAAATCACTCCCAAACATTCGTGGCGTTTACTATATCTCGTTAACCGTAATAGATACGAACATGGTTAAATTGGGGCAAAGTTGCGCTTTGGGGTGTTTACCAAGATGCCATCAAAAAAGTTTTAAAAATATTCAAGAATTGCTGAGTTTTTTGGAAAAAACTGATTTTTTAGAAAATCAAAAAACTAATTGCACATTCTCATAGCCACTTTATTAGGGCTATCTGATAGTATTTTTAGATTTTCAAATTAGTTGATATATTTTGAGATACAGAGGCGAACTTAATTTTTATAAATGCGGGCCTGCATTTTTTATTTCAGATTTTGAAAGAATTCATTTGAACACAATTTATTTAGACCAATTTCAAGTCCGGCAGTCTTTTTATTTTTAAATATTTAATTTATTCATCGTTACAATATTGATAAGCTTTCAAACTTAAGAATGACGTGGGGTAAAACATTGAATACGGAAAATCAAATGCAATAAAATAATATAAAATAATTAATATAAGGTACTTTACCCAATTAAGGCCAGTGCTACTATAAGGCCATACGCCCCCTAGCGACAGAAAACAAACCTAACGTAAAAATTGTAACTAACAATAATATATACCCATGCGCTCTATAACTTTAGTCTATGGGTGATTTCAAAAAATCGCCAACAGATGGAGTTACAGCACATCGTGGTTTGTAGCCGTTTTCGTTAACGGGATTCTTGTATATGTTGTTTGTGATTTTTTATTGAAATTGTTTTTTATAACTTTTCTTTTTACATAAGGAGTTACCAAGGTAAGTTAGCTTAATGGTAGTAATTTGGGTTTTTTGTTATTTTCAACTTTAAAGGAGTTACGAGGGTTTGTTGTTTTAAGGTTATGCGTTCCTAATAAAGCCACCTGAGTGGCCTTGTTAGGAACTATGTGGCCTTATTAGGTTCTTACCTATTTTCTTCTCTATTCTCAGAACATGCCACCCACACAAAGAGCAAAATGGTCCGAGCAGCAGTTGAGGAGAGCTCTTGCGAGTATAAATCAGGGAATGCCTGTCCTGACAGCGGCTAAGCGCTATGATATTCCGAGACGAACCCTTCGAAACCATGTCACAACTGGAAGTTTCGTTAAGAAATTGGGGAGATCCTCAATACTAACCGTAGAACAAGAAAATGAGTTGTGTCAACGTATTATAAGGTTAGGCAATATCGGAGTACCTTTGACAAACAAAATCATTCGAAAGTCGGTGTATACATTTGCAAACACTAGAAATATTAGACACTGTTTTAATCGAGAAAAGGAAATGGCTGGCAGAAGATGGATAAAATTATTTTTTGCCAGGCACCCAGAAATCACCGAGCGTAAAGCTCAGCTTCTTAATCCCGCTAGGGCCCAAAAAATGAACAAAACCATTGTAAATGACTATTTTACTAAACTAAAACAGATAATGACTGAAAAAAACTTTATTGACAAGCCGCACTTGATATTTAACATGGATGAAAAGGGTTGCAGATTGACCCTACACCATCAGCAAAAGGTCCTTGCCAGAAAAGGTGAAAGGAGGGTTCACATAATTGCAACGGAGCATGCCGAAAACGTGACTGTGGTCGCTTGTGGCAGCGCAGTTGGTCAAGCCATACCCCCAATGGTCTTATTTAAAGGAAAAAGGTGCAAGGACGAATGGAAAGAAAATATGGCTCCTGGGACTGTTATTGAAATGACACCTAAGGGGAGCATGACCACAAGTGTTTTTTGTAAGTGGCTACAGCACTTCGCTAAATTTAAGCCCGAAGGAGACGTTTTGCTGATAATGGATGGAGCAGCCTCTCACCTGGATATTTCTGTTTTTGAAACCGCAGATGCATTGGGAATAACTCTTTTGTGTCTGCCTAGCAACACCACACACGAGTTACAACCACTTGATAAATGCGTTTTTCGCAGCTTTGAACATTATTGGGACGAAGAAGTATTACTGTATTGGACAACTTTTCCTGATAGAAAAATAACAAGAACTCGGTTTGGTAAGATACTCAGCGAAATTTACCCAAAAGCTATGTCTGTGAAAAATTTACAGTCGGCTTTTGAAGCCACTGGAATATTTCCATACAACCCTAATTCCATACCAGAAATTGCATTTGCTCCTAGTAGATTGTCCTATCGTGCATCTCCTGCAGCTAATAATGAAGATGGAATGGAAGATCCACAAATAAATCCTCGTAACGAAGTAACGTTAAGCTCTTCAGAATCAGAAGAAGGATCCGATAGTGATTCTGATAATGAACCACTCATTAATTTGGTTCTGAAGAAGAAAATATCTTTGGATTGTAACGGTAATAAAACTACTGATGCAATTGAACCTGAAACTAGGAATGAAAATCAAGACTCAATTTTGAATGAATCGAGGGAGAGTATGAAGGAATTGTTTCCAACACCTGAATTAAAAATTCCAGTCACTAAACGACGCAAAGCAATTAATTCAGCTGCTCAAGTTGTTGTCAGAGATTTATTTAACAAACCTTCCTCTAGTTTTGCCGAACCTTCCACTAGTTTTGCGGTACCTTCGACGAGTAACAGAGAAAATTTAACTCCTTCAACTTCCAAAGTTAAGAATAAAAATAAAGCTTTAAAAAGTAAAAAGCCATCAACGGAGAGTTGGTACTGCTTTATTTGTAAGGAAGATAGGGTGTTAGACATGCGACTTTGTGTGTTGTGTTGCCGATACGTCCATGAGGAATGTGTCGGGTTATGCAGGGATAATAAAACCAAGTTTGTTTGTTACGATTGCGAAATTTAGTAAGTTTCTTGGTTAAATAAAAATGTTATCAACAAAAAATTGTTTTTTTTATTGTAATAGCTCCTATTTATCAATTTCTGCACGTGGCCTTTAAAAGTGCCTGGGTTACCAATAAGGCCAATTGCAGTGTTTTTAAAAAAACAAAAAAAATCCACAAAACAAACAAAAAATTATACTTTTTTTGATGTAGGATCAACATATATGAAGCACTAATTGTTCCCCAATATTTTCTACAAGGGTTGGATTAATATTTTTCTTGCAATGCCCCTTTAAACCTTAACGTGGCCTTAATTGGTTCAGGTACCTTAATATAAACAATAAAATCATTTTTCTGGAAGATGGATTGGAAATGGTATAGAGCAGTATAATGTCTAGCGAGGTTCCTGGACATATCGCTAAGGGGCTATATTATTTGACGTCATTTGTAAAACATTTAAATTAATCATCTCAACATTTACAATAAAGAGTACAAAACGCATTCGGAAGTATAAGAAGAAAGTTCAAAGAGCTATAAATAAAATTAGATAAAAATAAATTTGTGCAGTAAGGAATTTGTGCTTTCGAACATGTAGAACGTTAGAAACTAGTTTGTAGAAGTTGATTTATTTATAATAACTACGATTAATATTATGCATATTATTAGATCGCACACTGAGATTTCCAGTTCACAATAAAAAAAGTTAAAAATAATATCTTTAAATTTCTGACCCGGATTTTATTTATTTGCATGATCTAATTGGCTCGATTTTCCTTATTCAATATTAATTAGCACTGATCATTATTGTTGCAATGAATATAATCAGATTACGTAATTTAAGAATCCAGAGTCGGACTTATTATTTAAATAAATAATTAAATAGTTTTGTTGCTGTTAAGGTATCCCATACAAAAAAAAGTATAAAGAGTGGCATATCGTTGTATTCAGGAGACCGAGTTCTTTCAAAACCTGAAATAAAAAATGCAGGTCCATATTTAAAAAAATTAAGTTGGCCTCTGCATCTCACAAATTATCAGTTAATTTGAAAATCTAAAAATACTGTCAGA